CCCAGATTCTGGACTCTTAAAAACTGTGCAAAATAATAAACGTTTGATGTTTTAAATTGGTAAGTTTGGGGATAATTAGCTATGTAGCAATAGATAGCTAATATAGTAAACATACATGAAATTCAGTAATTTCAATTTCATCAATAAGCATTAATTTAAAATGTCATATGTGCTACCCTGCTACTATAATTACAGTCAATCTATATTATAAGAATTACCTATTGAAATGATTTATTAATTTTGGAGCCACCCATTCTGTTTCTGTTTTATACTGTCCCCAGAGGCCTTCTACCTAACTTATCTATGGCTTCTGGTACTACTGTAATACTTACCTTTCTAACCCATCCTCTGTACCCTGTTGATATTAAAGAATTTGTCTCCATATCAGTCTTTTAAACACTGGTGTCTGAATATATCCTCAATATAAGGTACTCGTGATATTTTATCACCACCTTTTCCTGTATCACAACACAGATGATTATTTGAACACTACACTTATTAAAAGGCCCGAGTCATTGGCGAGAGTGCCATACTCCTCCTTTTCTCCATACATATTTCTGTTTCAACTGAAGTTATGTCTCCCTTTTTCTTTTTGCATACAAACAGGCCAGTCATGTCATTACTATCCAAATCTATATTTTACTCTAGGTTTCATCTGTATGTCAGCACTTTCATTTTTCGTCTTGATTAGAATGCCTTCTAATTTCTCACTTCCCTTAAATTCATACATCCAATTTAAGTACATGCAAGTATTTGACTACTTCATTATGCCCTGCTTGATTGTTTACATATTAAAACATCATTAAAATTGTAAATTATATCTTTCCTATTTCTCTTGTATTATAGTTAGGGCATTTACTGATATTTTAAAAATTATGTGTATGGGTAGGTTATATTTTCCAGGAATTCCATTTCAAGATAATTAAGAAGCATTATAATACAGTTAGTAGAAGGGTATTGACTTTGGGCCTCATAGAGTTCTGAGTAATTGTTTGTCCCAGTGATTGGTTCAGGTAACTTGGCTTAGACCAATCACTGCCTGGCAGTTTGCTGGTTTTAATCGGTTCATGGGTGGTCCAATCAGAGACGAGCTCTTTGCTGGATTTGTTTAGTAAAGACTGTAGGCCCAACAACTTCAGGTAATCAGAGAAGAGGGCTGGCCTTAGGAAGAAGCTAGTTCTGTGGACAATGCTGTGGAGACAAAAAGTGACACAACACTGTTGAGCCCGTTGGTCACCCTGCCTTGACGCCCACCATATCTCTGATCTAGTTCCGGGCGCCACTGAATCCTCTTTATCATTTAAGCCAGTTTGAGGTTTGTTTGTTTGCTTTTTTTCCTGTGTCTGTAACCGAAACCAACTGATAAATATAACCTCTGTCTTCAGGGTGTAGACTGCAGAAAGAAATCCTTCCTGTTCTGACAGAGTCAAATCATCTTTCAAGCTTTGGTTTTCTGTTTCTCTCTAAAGACTAGTCTTTCCCCAAATATTGACACTGAATATTCATTCTTTCAGAAGAGTCATTTCACACCGACAGAAGCGCGACCTTAGTCTTAAGCAACCCTTATCAAAATACAACGGTTCTGACTGACTTACACAAAGTCTTCTTGTTACACAACCCCATAAGCTTCTGGAGGAAGAGAGACAATATTTTTGGAAGTACATGTTTACACAACATGCTTTAGTCTTTCTGCTAGTTCCAGTGGTGACAGATGGATGTAATCTCAAAAGATGGGAAGTGAATGCCACTCTATCAGAGTAAGTTCATGAAGTAGCCCTGAGGAAGTAAGAACAAACTAGAACCGGCAGGACCTAGAGTGAAAGGCAGCTGGATTGTTCCTTTCTCTTATTGGGCTTGAACCAACTGGACTGGATTCTACTTGTCCAGTTTTAGGTAAAGTAGGTCTTTTAGAACCTGTTCTGGCCCAAACCTGAAAATAGTCATGAAGTCACAAAGACTCCAGAATCCAAGAGAGCCTCTTCAAGGTCCTCAGGTAATAGCAGTCTAACAAAACATATACTTAAATAGTGACATGATGAAACACCAGTTGAATCAGGGCACGTATGGAGCCCTTTTTAGGCTTATGTGCAATTTTACTAAAGACTCAATTCAGTACATTTGAAATGCTGACACTGAAATGTTGACATCAGCAACTTAATCCCAATGTCTTTCAAATGCTCATGTTTTTGAAAGCATAGCCATATACATGTTTGATTCTCTTTCTGAAATAGTTTATAGAATGAGAGAGAAGCAAGCTACACTAGTGTAAGTTCCTATTTACTTCTAGAAAAATAACTCAAAGCATGTGCATCCTGATGGCAAGTAATCCTTCCTTCATACAAAAAGGTAAGCATTTTGGTACAGATATTCTGTAATAAAGCTTAAAAAATCTTGGGGAATAATAAATATTTTAAAAAGAGATGAGATTTAAGACTATGTTAGAAATTCCTACTTGTCCCTCAATATCCATTCTTCCTTCTTTTCTCAGTACCCAAACTCGATTTTCCAGCCTTCCTTGTAGTTTAGTTAACTAAATGACTAACTTTTTGTCAGCTAAATGAAAGCAGAAATAGTATATGCAATCTTTGTGAAAGATTCTTAAAGAGAGGAGTGGTTCCTTCTTTGTCTTCTCTTCCGTTGCTTGAAATGTAGGCACAATGGCTGGAGCTACTGCAGCTCCCTTAGACCATGAGGTGATAATGGGAATGGAACCTGATACCTTGCAAATGCCTATATATTTGAAAGTATAAATGAATATATATTCATTTATATATTCATTTATAATATATAATATATAATTATCTAATGTATAATTATATAATATACTATATAACATATAGTATATAATATATTATATATTTTTTTTTTTAATATATAATATATAAAGAGTGTGATGCTCTTGGCTGTAGCAAGGAGGCTGAATCTGTCTCGGTGAAGTGCCAGAGCAGTTCCAGATTAACTTTAGATTTCTTAAACATAAGAGGGAAATATCAATTTTTTGCTTAAACCACTGTTATTTTGTGGTTGTTTCTCCCTGCTACTCCTAGCCAAACCTAATCCTAATACAATAATCAAAACCGAAGAAAGATTTAAAAACTTATTTTAAAAAAGCCAACCTTTATAGGTCAGCAATTTAACTAGTTTTAAGGTTGCACATATTTCAAAAGTAATTTATTTAGCAAATATTTATTGAACACCTATATCCTAGCACATTTATCAGGATAATGGACAAGGTAACATAAATGTATTATTTGCCAATTGACAAAATATAAAGGATAAAAAAATACAATATACATGAAAATGAGAACTGAGGAAAAGTGGAAAAATAACAAACAGTAGGGGTTGTTCCCTTTCCATGTATAATAAGGTATGGAGGAATAACAGAAGTATAAGAGGATGGCATTTTGTGATAACCCGGAACACAGAACTTTTTATTTTATTATACTTCAGGTAAAAACTTTTTTAGGTTCCCATTGATAATACCTGGACTTACACGATATCTTTGCCTCAAACAATTAAATGGCGTTTTAGATTCGGTAGGAAATTTATGACGGGGCTTTCAAAAGCTGTTGAAATGATGCTGAAAATTCAAGATGCAGTGTCTTTAAAGAAGACAGTAGGAAGAGACCTGACTACAAGAAAGCTAAAAATCTGGATGGATGGCCGAGAAAGGCATCCGTCCAGTATCAGAAGACCATCTGTATTGTGTTGGTAACAACTTCAGGTTACAGTACTAGTTAGTAGCTTTGGACAAGTAACTCACCTTTCCAGGCCTCCATTTCTGAGTGGCGAGGACCTTGAGTTCCTGAGAATCCTCCTGGAGCATCTGCCCTACTCTGGGCCGCTCGCGACCAATGCCGCTAGACCTGGAGGCAAAGGCAGAGAACCCCTGCCCTCTAGGACCAGAGGACCATAGGAAGGGCCAGGTCTACAGGGCTGAAAATCGCACAGCGAAGTCAGACTGGCTACGCGCAGAGCTGCGGCGCCCCGCCCTGGAGTC